CCAACTGAAGACCAAGCCCGAGAGATGATATAGTACTATGCATTTTCTAGGAACTTTTTGGTAACTTGTTGCCAAGGGGGGAGAAAAATGTATAGATCATAGGCTTCGAGAGAGAGAGTTTGTTTTTGTTCTCTCTTGTCTTCTTGGTTGAACTTTATTTGCTTTTGCTTGCTTGAGATACTATGCTATTATCTATGAGACATTGATGATCATGTGTTTGATCATAAGCTACACTTATGCTTGTTAGATGATATTATCTTATTTATCCTTATATGATCATTCACTTTGCTTGGTGACGAGTGCATGTATTCAATCTTTATTATTTTGAGCGCTCCACCAAGATGTATGTGACATGGAAGAGTAACCCATGAGCATAATTCCTTGTGCATTTGCAGTCCAAAGCAAATCTTAAACTATGCACAAATTTAGGGGGAGCTCTTGCTAATCACATACTTCTCAAAGCGACGATGTTTTTCAATCCTATTATCATTTGTCGAAGCTTTGATCTATATGTTGTCATCAATTACCAAAAAAGGGGAGATTGAAAGTGCAACTATCCCTAGGTGGTTTTGGTAATTCATATCAACATATAGCTCATTGAGCTAATACTATTCCAAGACAAATATTTCAGGAAAGCTCAATGAATGGCATGGCATGGATGATGAAAGTGGATCCCTCAAAATATTAAGGACAAAAGGATTGGCTCAAGCTCAAAAGCTCAAGACTCTACATTTTATATTTTAGTGATCCAAGATCACATTGAGTCTATAGGAAAAGCCAATACTATCAAGGAGGGATGAGGTGTTGCTTGATGAGCTTCTTGCTTCAAGTGCTTAGTGATATGCTCCAAAAACCCTCAACTACTTTCTCATATCCACATATGACCTAAACCTAAAGTCAAACTCGGCCCCACCGATTCTTTCTATCCGGCAACACCGAGTTTAGATGTCATAGCCACTGCCACAAACCCTAGGCAAATCGGTCTCACCGATAGGGATCTCGGTCTCATCGAGATGGGATTGTAATCTCTCTGTTTCCCTTCGTAACGTTTCGGTCTAACCGAAGTGAGCGATCGGTCCCACCGAGATTGCAATGTAAACTCTCTGTTTCCCCTTCGTAACACTTCGGTCTCACCGAAAAGAGCGAATCGGTCCCACCGAGTTTACCTGACCAACTCTCTAGTTAGCTAATTACCAAAATCGGTCTCACCGATTTTGTGTAATCGGTCTCACCGAGATTACGTTATGCCCTAACCCTAACAATATCGGTCCCACCGAGTTGCATGTCGGTCCCACCGAAATCACTAACGGTCACTAGGTTTACTGAATCGGTCCGACTGAGTTTGTTGATTCGGTCCCACCGAGATTGGTAAATTGTGTGTAACGGTTAGATTTTGTGTGGAGGCTATATATACCCCTCCACCTCCTCTTCATTCGTGGAGAGAGCCATAGGAACAAACCTACACTTCCAACTTACCATTTCTGAGAGAGAACTGCCTACTCATGTGTTGAGGCCAAGATATTCCATTCCTACCATATGAATCTTGATCTCTAGCCTTCCCCAAGTTGCTTTCCACTCAAATCTTCTTTCCACCAGATCCAAATCCTATGAGAGAGAGTTGAGTGTTGGGGAGACTATCAGTTGAAGCACAAGAGCAAGGAGTTCATCATCAACGCACCATTTGTTACTTCTTGGAGAGTGGTGTCTCCTAGATTGGCTAGGTGTCACTTGGGAGACTCCAACAATATTGTGGAGTTGAACCAAGGAGTTTGTAAGGGCAAGGAGATCGCCTACTTTGTGAAGATCTACCGCTAGTGAGGCAAGTCCTTCGTGGGCGACGGCTATGGTGGGATAGACAAGGTTGCTTCTGTTGCGGAACGTTGCAGAAAATAAAAAAATTCCTACGGTTCCACCAAGATCAATCTATGAGTTCATCTAGCAACGAGAGAGAGGAGTGCATCTACATATCCTTGTAGATCGAGCGGAAGCGTTCAAGAGAACGGGGTTGAGGGAGTCGTACTCGTCGTGATCCAAATCACCGGAGATCCTAGCGCCGAACGGACGGCACTTCCACGTTCAACACACGTACGGTCAGCGTGAAGTCTCCTCCTTATTGATCCAACAAGGGGGAAGGAGAGGTTGATGAAGATCCAGCAGCACGACGGCATGGTGGTGGATGCAGCAGGGATCCCGGCAGGGCTTCGCCAAGCGTCTGCGGGAGGGAGAGGTGTAGCAAGGGGGAAGGGAGGAGCCAAGTGCAAGGGTGCGGCTTCCCTCCCTCCCCCCTCTTTATATAGGGTCCCCAGGGGGGGCGCCGGCCCTGGGAGATTGAATCTCCAAGGGGGGGGCCAAGGGGGTGCCTTGCCCCCCAAGGCAAGTGGAGGCGCCCCCTCCCCTAGGGTTCCCAACCCTAGGCGCAGGGGGGCCCAAGGGGGGTGGGCGCACCAGCCCACCAGGGGCTGGTTCCCCTCCCACTTCAGCCCATGGGGCCCTCCGGGATAGGTGGACCCACCCGGTGGACCCCCGGGACCCTTCCGGTGGTCCCGGTACAATACCGGTGACCCCCTAAACTTTCCCGATGGCCGAAACTCGACTTCCCATATATAATTCTTTACCTCCGAACCATTCCGGAACTCCCTGTGACATCCGGAATATCATCCGGGACTCCGAACAACTTTCGGTTTTCCGCATACTAATATCTCTACAACCCTAGCATCACCGAACCTTAAGTGTGTAGACCCTACGGGTTCGGGAGACACGTAGACATGACCGAGACGGCTCTCCGACCAATAACCAACAGCGGGATCTGGATACCCATGTTGGCTCCCACATGCTCCTCGATGATCTCATCGGATGAACCACGATGTCGAGGATTCAAGCAACCCCGTATACAATTCCCTTTGTCAATCGGTACGTTACTTGCCCGAGATTCGATCATCGGTATCCCAATACCTCGTTCAATCTCGTTACCGGCAAGTCACTTTACTCGTACCGTAATGCATGATCCCTTGACCACACTTGGTCACTTTGAGCTCATTATGATGATGCATTACCGAGTGGGCCCAGAGATACCTCTCCGTCATACGGAGTGACAAATCCCAGTCTCAGTCCGTGTCAACCCAACAGACACTTTCAGAGATACCCGTAGTATACCTTTATAGTCACCCAGTTACGTTGTGACGTTTGGTACACCCAAAGCAATCCTACGGTGTCCGGGAGTTACACGATCTCATGGTCTAAGGAAAAGATACTTGACATTGGAAAAGCTCTAGCAAACGAACTACACGATCTTGTGCTATGCTTAGGATTGGGTCTCGTCCATCACATCATTCTCCTAATGATGTGATCTCGTTATCAATGACATCCAATGTCCATAGTCAGGAAACCATGACTATCTGTTGATCAACGAGCTAGTCAACTAGAGGCTCACTAGGGACATGTTGTGGTCTATGTATTCACACGTGTATTACGATTTCCGGATAATACAATTATAGCATGAATAAAAGACAATTATCACGAATAAGGAAATATAATAATAATCCTTTTATTATTGCCTCTAGGGCATATTTCCAACAGCTTCTTCATGGACCCTTCTTGGGTTGAGCCCTCTGTGGACTCGCGCAACCTTTACCCTTCGTGGGTTGAAGTCTCCATCAACGTGGATGTACGATAGCACCACCTATCGGAACCACGACAAAAACATCCGTGTCTCCAATTGCGTTTGAAATCTCCAAACCCTTCCCTTTACATTCTTGCAAGTTGCATGCTTTAAATTCCGCTGCTCATATACTCTTTGCATGCTTGCTTGAATTGTGTGTAGATTGCTTGACTTGTGCAAAGATAGCTAAAATCTGCCAAAGTCTAAAATTGGGAAAAGGTTAGGTTTTTAATTGGTCAAGTAGTCTAATCACCCCCCTCTAGACATACTTCAAGGTCCTACAACAGCGAGAAACCCTGACATCGCCGCCCTCATGAGCTGGCAGGAATCTAAACCGGAGCTCCATCTAACTAGTCCCAATGGATGAGCTTGAGAAGGATCAGAATCCAAAAGACTGACTCGAGAAAGAAGCGTCGTCATTTGTCCGAGCGTCACCCCTGCGAATACTAAAATCTTATCTATCTATTAGCCGGAGCCAAGGCATCAGGCTTCTTCTTCTTCTTCTTCTTCTTCTTCTTCTTCTTCTTCTTGACGGGAGCCCAATGTCTGGCGAGAAAATCTACCAAGGTCATTGCTAACATGGCAGAGCACCTCTTTACTTCTAAGATCTCCCTCCTCCAACTCCTCGGCGTTTCACTCCCCGTTTTTTCCGGTGTTGTTATGTCAGTATTTTGTCCTCCTCGCCATCTCCCTCTAAATATTTGTATTTTTAGGAGACACCCCCTCCTCCCCGCGGACATCCTCGTGTAGCTCGATAGGTTGAAAGCATAAATATCGAGTTTACAAAAGCCTAAACATGATATATTTGCATGGTTCATTTTACCCATAAGCTCAAAGTAGCTTCTCCGTACGTGGACAATATATTGGTCTAATATTAGTTGATTCCAAGCAATTTTTTGTGCATGAACACAAGATTTATATTTTAAACACCGAAATTTTGTAAAATGAATAAATTGCATATGTACCCGAAAAAAAGGATAAATTGCATATGGCATCCAAACCTGTTTTGAATTGGAATCTTATAAATTAAATTCATATTCTATCCAAATTAGATTGCAGTTTAATTCAATGAAATGAACTCAATTCTTTTATTTTCTAAGATAATTTAGATTTGTTGGCGAAATAGTCAAATACTCCAATACCAACAAATTTTTATATATTAATAAAAGACTTTCTTGACCCATGAAGCCCATGTAACACGAGAATCACCAGGCGCGCCATCTCGTCCCCACCGCTGATCGCTATGCATTAGAACACGACGCCTCCTCAAGGTCTTCAAGCCGTCACCTGCCAGCCAACCACGCGCACCCTCCTCACACACACAGCGCCCCGGCCGCTACCCATGGCGCCAGACCTCGAGCCGCTCCTCCCCCGTGCCGGCCACCGCCCCGTCACCGGCGGCTGGAGGTCGGCTCTGTTCATAATCTGTAAGTCTGCCACGATCTCGCTCCCCTAGCTTTGGCTGCTCGGCTCAATTTACTAACCAGGGGTGGGCGCTACATGCTCTCCGCGGCGACTCAAGGGGTGGAGGTGGCGGAGCGGTTCGCGTACTACGGCATCTCGGCCAACCTCATCAGCTACCTCACCGGCCCGCTCGGGGAGAGCACGGCGGCGGCGGCGGCGGCCGTCAACGCGTGGTCGGGCGCGGCGTCGATGCTGCCGCTGCTCGGCGCCGCCGTCGCCGACTCGTGGCTGGGGCGGTACCGCACCATCGTCGCCTCCTCCGTGCTCTACATCACGGTCAGTTAACCCAGCACACAACACCTCTGATTAGTTCGTCGATGTCGAACGCAACTTTTTCCTCCTGTTCAGTCAACTTTTCTGTGGTTCTTCTGATTGTTACGGTTAGATCGAACCATAGGAATTTACTGGTTCAAGAAATCTCGCACGAGTGGCGCATGGAACCGTATAGTAGTACTATTTTTTGTTTTATCAGTTTAGACGCAACTGGTTGAGAATATTATCGTTGACAAGGATGCTTCATCGTTTCGATCCGGTGGAAGCGGAGGCACCACACGCGTAGTGCTCCCCACGTCGAACCGGTCTTCGAAGAAAGAATACTGAGCTCAACCATAAACCTTATTTTCTGAGACCGTAGTACTACTTTTTTATTGAATCACATGATCATCGCCGGAACTTTCCAGCTCAAATTTGATCTTTAGCGCTTTAGCTCACGCAGAGCCGCAAAGATATATTTATTGCGTCCTTTCCGATGAAGCAGTAGCGCCTAAAACTTTTTCGAAGGCGCACCCCCATGTTCCATAGCGTCTCTAATCAAGCGCTTCAAACTCCGTGAGTGTGTTTCGTTGCCTACCCATGTAGGTACTCCCGCCTGCATTTATCTGGGATTTTGCTCCCATGGTGGTTGGTGGAGCAGGGTACCCTGGCCTGCAACGGCGAGGGGCGGCCCGCAGCATCATGAAGGTAGAGAGGTGGAGGCGTGGAGGGCATGTTCGGTTCCCAGCATCATTTTTAGGCGACTAAGAGCATCTCTAGCAGATCCCGTATAATACCGATCCGCAAAATTTATTTACAGTTTGTTGTAGATCTGATTTGCGGAGCGAATTCGTGCGCTGCAGATTAGACGGCATATATCAAATTGTAAAATTTTAAAATAAGTATTCACGAAGAAACTTGCAACGACATTGATCATACATAGTTCATCATCATACTACATTGATCATACACAGTTCATCACTATACTACATTGTACTACCTGGGGGAGATCTGCGGGCTGTGCAGCGTACCCGAGCCTACGCTACCAAAATTGACGAGCACGCGGCGGACAAGCCAGAGCAGCTCAATCCTCGTCGGAGTCGAGGTCGATGAAGACCTTCGCCTGTTCGGCCTTCATGATGCGCAAGTCCGCCTTCTTGGACGCATGCGCCTGCGACGCCGCGACGCCCTGCTCGAGGAAGATCCGCTCCTAGTCGAGCTCGCGGCGGCGGAGCACGGCGGCCTCCTCCTCCCTCGTCGAGCGCTCATACTGTGTTTGAACGCCGGCGGCCTCCGGCTCCTGTGGTTGAGCCACCTCCGCACCCCCGCTTCCGTGCGGCGTCGGATCTGCGGCGGCGGCGCTCCTCGTCATCCCCATCGCTTTCGTAGCCATCCATGGGTCGCTTGGCCTTTTTAAGACTCGCCGTCGGCGAGAAATTGGACGGAGGAGGGGAATCGCGCGGAGCGGCAGCGGAGGCGGATAGGGTTTGACCCGTATCTGAGTAGAGAGAGAGAGGGGGGGGGGATTTTTTCCTGGCCACGGTAAATTTTTTACTCGCCGGAATTATACGGGTTCGGGTCTTTTACGGGGTCTGCTAGAGATGCTCCTTAAAACGCATGAAACTGTAAAATAACTGTTAGTTTACAGTTTTAGGCGGAAAAAGTGGTTCGAATAGAACCCGTAAACGACTCTGACCTGTAATTTTTTAAAAGTAGGACGGTAAAAAGCTCCCCCAAACTATAAAAATACAGTTTTTGCGTCCACTTCCACGGTGCCCTGTATTGAGAGAAAGCAGTTCGCGGAAGCCCAACTGCCATGGAAACATCCGCGTACTAGCTAGCTAGCTAGCTAGCTCTTGGATCGATGGAACGATTGGAGCTGGCTCCTGGATCTTGATCGATTGGAGCTGGCTCGGGAGGAGCTAGCTAGCTAGCTCATGGATTTGGCCCCTTTTGATGTGCTTCGTATTTGGTCGCTCCGTATTTGACCGCTTTTGTGCGCTATCCGTCGGCTTCGTAGGAGACCGTGGACACGGGCGAGAGAAAGAAGAAGACGTGGAAAAAAAATTATGCGAATATTCAATTTTACAGTTTAAGTTTAAGGGGTCTGTTCAGCCGTAGCTCAAACTGACCCTTAAAAAGCGTTTTTCGTGAACTGAAAACCGCGTTTACAGTTCCGCGGTTTAAGGGGTCTGATGCTTTAATGCTACATTACAGGGGGCTTTATGGAGGTTTTATGGGGCTAACTAAATATTAGCGGCTGATTTGGTTAAGTAGGACAGGCTCCACCAGTTAAATTCGGGACGGCCAATTAGATCAGTGCATGTTATTCAGTCCATGAAGTCCGTTGAAATATGCCCGTGAGTCTAGTATTATCGTGAGTCTAGTATTATCGATTTTAGGACTTTTGTATCTGTGGCTTGGTTCTGCCTAATTGGGTTGAAACGCGGCTTGGGTCATGTTCTGCACCTTGTTTGGTAGCTCGCGTTGCGTCGCTGGTTATTTTGTTTCAACGTGAGCAGATGCAAAGCATAATTGTTTGGTTGTGTGCATGGGATATTCCGCTCATCCCTTTCAAACATGATGACCTTACCACCCCATGCACCACACTAACAAGCACTTCAGGAGCACACAAAGTCATATTAACACCAACAGGCACACTAAAAACACAGAACACACAACACACTGACACGAGTTTTGTTTTGAGCAACACAACTATGACACTAACACGAGTAGGCACACTATTAACACAATTCAGTGGCGTAGCCATAGGGTGGCCAGGGTGGTCCATGGACCACCCTGGGATTTGGCCCACCATCAGCCCTTATAGGTATACTCATCAGCCCAAAGAAAAAAACCATATGCCAGCTACGTTAGCTTCACCCTTTCGTCGTACCCTCACGATGCTAAGATCAGGATTGTTGATCATTCTCAATTTATTATGAGTTACGACGCTCCTGATTCCTCCTGAACGACTAGACCTAGCTAGCAGAGACAACACGGCATGGGGCAACACAATGGCGGCAACATGTTGTAGGCAGATGCGGGCGGTTTCCTGGCGTTATGTGGCAACCGGCAGGCGAAGCCAGGAGCGTCAGGGTGCTCGGCGGCTGCCGGTGTGCGTTATGGCAGGTTGAGCCGCTGAGCAGGAGCACCAACGTCAACACATGTATGCTTTTTAAGTTCTCGTCCCTTTCAAAGTATGCTTCTAATTTTTGCTTTCATGGTTTGAATAAGCTTAACTAAGAGTGCAAATATTAACATTTTTTGCTTTCTGGCTTCATTTAAATTACAATGCTTGTATTGGAATTTGATTGTAATAGATTCAATCTAATTGAGAGTTCACAAATTGAAAGATATTATAGAAAACTTCCAAAAAGAAGAGGACTGGAGACATTGCATCCTTTTGTTAATTTGTTGTTTTGACAAATTCTATATTAGAAAGATAGCATGTTGAATTTTCACCTAAATAATTATGTCAATTGGACCACCCTGGATCAAAATCCCGGCTAGGCCACTGCACATCACATTAACATTTAGCAATACTAACATTAACACAGTGACGTTTTAAGACAATAGGGGCATCCCATGCCCTTGCACAGGCGTTGTTTCCGATTCAAATATGGACAATTTACATCAAACGCAACACATTACTATGATCAGTGCACTGATCAAAGCAACACATTGCTATAATCAGTGCATTGGTCATTGACTGATCATAGCAATGTGCATAGCTACATTGTGCACTGATCATAACAATGTGCATTTCTACACTATGCATGCATCAAAGCAATGCTGAGCAATGTTGCTTTGATGAGTGCACTAATCAAAGCAATGGACTGTAGGCATGCACACATACTATGGTCCTAGCAATCCTAGCAATCAGTGTACACATCAGTGCACAATGTAGGCATTCCTAGCAATCAGTCTAGACATGCACACATACTATGATCCTAACAATCAGTCTAGGCATGCACGATGCTAGCAATGTACAATCGAATCTGCATAATCTTCTTGAATGAGTTCACAATCAGTTTAGACATGCTTCTTACTTGCAATGCACAACTGAATCTACACAATCTAATAAATTTGGAGTAGCAACCGCCTAAAAAACCTAGCGCTAGAATCAAATTGAATCTACACTACCGGAAGTACTTGCATTTTTGGCCGGGGTGGAGCAGGTGTGGGCGAAGGTGGAGTGGGAGTGGATGGTGCCGGAGCCAACCCCACGGGGACGACAGCATCCACGCCCTGCCGCGGCTGGTGTCATGGGAATCGAAGCCAAACTCGTCACCATGCCGCGACCAACGTCCCCGCCTCAACAACTGAAAATTCCAGGCATCACAGTCATGGTACCGGCCACCGATGGGTGATCAGACACACGAATTGCATCCTCGTGCAGATGGGGGTAAGGGGCGCACCACCCTTTCCAACTGACCGCGAGGAAGGTCCCCAAAGGCACGTCAGCCAGACAATGCTCGTGGTTGCTATCGCCGCCGCGATGAGGTGTCAGGTGGAGCGGTGGAGGAGTGCGGCGGTTATTGGAGAGAACGAACGGGTAGTGAGTGAGAGAGGTGTGAATGGGGGTTTGGGTAGTGAGGGGAGAGGAGGGCGTGTAATGTCGATAGTCATGTCTTGTCTCGTCTGCCACGCTTCCCCGGGCGTGCATGTGAGGAGCACACATGGTTCGCTGGAGCCTGGCTCTGGGGAAATGGACTATTCGACTGATCCTCCTCAGTTCGGCCCAGGTCTGCTATCAGGTTTTGTGTGAACCATGAATTCGGTGTAGCCCAGGCAACCAAACAGTCCAAAACTGCATCCCCAGAGCATGGCTGGGGATGTGGCCTACCAAACATGCCCCACATATTTTAAGTCTAGGTTCCACCTGAGGGAGAAGTTAGACTAGTAAGTGGGTCAAGATCGAGCCAAGTTTAGGGTGAAAATACTCTGGAACCTCGACAATATCAATCACATCGACAGGAGGCAAGCAACGCCATGCTTCGGACAGAGATCCAGTGACTGGC